GTGTGTGTGTTCGTGTGTATCTGTGGAGTGGTGGTGGTGGTGTATGTGTGTGTGCGTGTGTCTGTGTAAGTGTGTAGTATGTTTTTTTCAACCGTCTCCACTAGACGTATTTTATTTTCTATATTTCAACCGTTTCTCCTAACTGTATTTCATTTTCTATTTTCCAATCGTGTCCACGAGCTGCATTTTATTTTACACTTCAAAACCGGTTCCCGTAGCTGTATTTTATTTTCTATTTTCCAACGGTCCTCATTAGACTTTTTTTATTTTCTATTTTTCAACCATTTCATCTAGCTTTATTTTATATTGTTCTTTTCCAAAAGTCTCCCCTACCTGTGTTGTATTTTATATTTTAAAACAGTTTCCACTAGCTGTATTTTATTGTCTATTTTAAAACTGTATCCCTAGCTGTATTTTTTTCTCTATTGTCCAACCGTCTCCGATAGCTGTATTTTTAGAATATATTTTAAAACCGTTTCAACCTGCTGTATTTATTTTCTATTTTAAAATGGTCTTCCCAGCTATTTTCTATTTTCCAACTGACTCCACTAGTTTTATTTTATTTTATATATATATTTGTTTATAAAACCGTTTCCCCTGCCTGCATTTTTTTTATTATTTCAAAACCGTCTCTTTTATATAGGGCTATAGCTGCTTTTTATTTTCAATTTTACAACCGCCTTCCCTAGCTGTATTTTTGTTTCAATTTTAAAACCGTCTTGAGTAGTTGTATTTTATTTTCAATTTCAAAACCAATTCCCCCTGCTGTGTTTTATTTGTCTATTGTCCATTCATCCCCACTAGCTGTATTTTACCTTCTATTTTCCAATGGTCTACACTACCGGTATTTCATTATTTTATTTTTCAACCGTTTCCCATAAGCATTAGTGGAGACGGTTGGAAAATAGAAAATAAAATAGAGCTAGGGGAAGCGGCTTTAACATTTAAAAAAAACAAAATACAGCTAGTGGAGATGGTTAGAAAATAGAAAATAAAATACAGCTAGTGAAGGCAGTTAAAAAATATTTTTTTTAATACAGGTAGTGGAGAAGGTTTTCAAAAAGAAAAGAAAATTGAGCTAGTGGAGACGGTTTGAAAATGTAAAATAAAATACATTTAGGGGAGACGGGGTGGGGTAAAAAATACTGGGAATTGACTAGAACATACTGGGGATGAGCTAAAAAATTATGGGGATTGAGCTAGAAAATACTGGGGATGAGGTTTTTAAAAAATTATGGGGATTGGCTAGAAAATACTGGGGATGAACTAATTTTTTTTAGATGAGCTAGAAAATACTAAATACTAGGGACAAATGCTAGAAAATATTAAGAATGAGCTAGAAAATACTGTGGATGAGTTAGAAAATATTAGGGATGCGCTAGAAAATATCAGGGAAGAACTAACTAGTACTGTGCCTGAGATAGCAAATAAAAAGGGTGAGCTAGAAAATACTGGGGATGGGCGAAAAAACATATGGGATCTTCTAGAAAATATTTGGGATAAGCTAGAAAAAAAAATAGGGATAATCTAAGAAATACAGGGGATGTGTTAAAAAATAATGGGGAATATTTGGGATGAGCTAGAAAATACTAAAATACTGGGGAGGAGCTAGAAAATATTTAGAATAAGCGTGAAAACACTGGGGATAAGTTAGGAAATATTGGGGATGAGCAAGAAAATATTGACAAATAATGGGGATCAGCTAAAAAATACTGAAGAATAATGAGCTCGAAAATACTGGGGATGGATCTAAAAAATACTGGGGATGAGTTAGAAAATACTGGGAACACAGGGGATGGAACTACACAATATTGGGGATCAGCCAGAAAATAGTGGGGAATGTTCGGGATTAACTAGAAAATACTGGGGAACACTGGCAATGAGCTAGAAAATACTGGGGATTAGATAGAAAATATTATATATGAGTTATAAAATACTCGGGACGAGCTAGAAAATATTACAGATTAGCTAAAAAATACTGGGGATAAACTAAAAAATATTGGGGAATATTTGGGATGAGCTAGAAAATATTAAGGATAAGCTAGAATTTACTATAAAATACTGGGGAAGTGCTAGAAAATATTAGGGATGAGCTAGAAAATATTAGGGATGAGCTACAAAATACGGGGAATAAGCTAGAAAATACTGCTAGAGTATACCACAGAATTCTACACTTATAGAACGGGAACTGTACCACGTGACCTGTGAGGAATTGAAGACCGAAAACAATGGCCACTTGAGGGCACGAT